TATAAAATACAGAACAAAAGTCATAAGCAGAGAAAAAATAAAACAAAACCGTGTTAAAATGGACAAATCGTACTAGTCAAAAAATATTCCAGAATGGACTTACTATGGGTATCCAGAATGGACTTACTATGGGTATCCAGAATGGACTTACTATGGGTATCCAGAGTGGACTTACTAGGGGTATCCAGAATGGACTTACTAGGGGTATCCAAAATGGACTTACTATTGGTATCCAGAATGGACTTACTATGGGTATCCAGAATGAACTTACTAGGGGTATCCAGATTGGACTTACTATGGGTATCCAGAATGGACTTACTATGGGCATCCAGAATGGACTTACTAGGGGTATCCAGAATGAACTTACTAGGGGTATCCAAAATGGACTTTCTAGGGGTATCCAGAATGGACTTAATAGGGGTATCCAGAATGAACTTACTAGGGGTATCCAGAATGAACTTACTATGGGTATCTAGAATGGACTTACTATGGGTATCCAGAATGGACTTACTAGGGGTATCCAGAATGAACTTAGTAGGGGTATCCAGAATGGACTTACTATGGGTATCCAGAATGAACTTGCTATGGGTATCCAGAATGGACTAACTATGGGTATCCAGAATGGACTTACTATGGGTATCCAGAATGAACTTACTAGGGGTATCCAGAATGGACTTACTATGGGTATCCAGAATGGACTTACTAGGGGTATCCAGAATGGACTTACTATGGGCATCCAGAATGGACTTACTATGGGCATCCAGAATGGACTTACTATGGGTATCCAGAATGAACTTACTAGGGGTATCCAAAATGGACTTTCTAGGGGTATCCAGAATGGACTTAATAGGGGTATCCAGAATGAACTTACTAGGGGTATCCAGAATGAACTTACTATGGGTATCTAGAATGGACTTACTAGGGGTATCCAGAATGAACTTAGTAGGGGTATCCAGAATGGACTTACTATGGGTATCCAGAATGAACTTGCTATGGGTATCCAGAATGGACTAACTATGGGTATCCAGAATGGACTTACTAGGGGTATCCAGAATGGACTTACTATGGGTATCCAGAATGGACTTACTATGGGTATCCAGAATGGACTTAATATGGGTATCCAGAATGAACTTACTAGGAGTATCCAGACTTACTAGGGGTATCCAGAATGGACTTACTAGGAGTATCCAGAATGGACTTACTAGGGGTATCCAGAATGGACTTACTAAGGGTATCCAGAATGGACTTACTATGTGTATTAGACAAAACTCAGCTCGATTAAACTTTTTAAGAACAAGGTAAAATCATGAGTTCATAGCTGGCGCGTTATCTCAGCCACAGAAAAACACAGAAAAATAAAGCCAAGTCGAATTGAAAGCAGATTGTAGTTGTTATATTTGAAAGATGTTTATTAATATTTATCTCTTTCAGATGGACCATTCTGTTTCTGTCCCAACGCAAACAATAATACCTACTGGTGTCTACGAACTGTCAACTCCACCCATAACTTCCTCTTCTGTGAATTTATCACTCGCTTTCAGAGCTACTATGATTTAAATAATGATCCTCATCAGGTAAGATCTACTATGATTATAATAACAATACTCATCAGGTAAGATCTACTATGACTATAATAACAAACCTCATCAGGTAAGATCTACTATGATTATAATAACAATACTCATCAGGTAAGATCTACTATGATTATAATAACAAACCTCATCAGGTAAGATCTACTATGATTATAATAACAAACCTCATCAGGTAAGATCTACTATGATTATAATAACAAACCTCAACAGGTAAGATCTACTATGATTATAATAACAATACTCATCAGGTAAGATCTACTATGATTATAATAACAATACTCATCAGGTAAGATCTACTATGATTATAATAACAATACTCATCAGGTTAGATCTACTATGATTATAATAACAATACTCAACAGGTAAGATCTACTATGATTATAATAACAATACTCATCAGGTAAGATCTACTATGATTATAATAACAATACTCATCAGGTAAGATCTACTATGATTATAATAACAAACCTCATCAGGTTAGATCTACTATGATTATAATAACAATACTCATCAGGTAAGATCTACTATGATTATAATAACAATACTCATCAGGTAAGATCTACTATGATTATAATAACAATACTCATCAGGTAAGATCTACTATGATTATAATAACAATACTCATCAGGTAAGATCTACTATGATTATAATAACAATACTCATCAGGTAAGATCTACTATGATTATAATAACAATACTCATCAGGTAAGATCTACTATGATTATAATAACAATACTCATCAGGTAAGATCTACTATGATTATAATAACAATACTCATCAGGTAAGATCTACTATGATTATAATAACAATACTCATCAGGTAAGATCTACTATGATTATAATAACAATACTCATCAGGTAAGATCTACTATGATTATAATAACAATACTCATCAGGTAAGATCTACTATGATTATGATGACAATACTCATCAGGTAAGATCTACTATGATTATAATAACAAACCTCATCAGGTAAGATCTACTATGATTATAATAACAATACTCATCAGGTAAGATCTACTATGATTATAATAACAAACCTCATCAGGTAAGATCTACTATGATTATAATAACAATACTCATCAGGTAAGATCTACTATGATTATAATAACAATACTCATCAGGTAAGATCTACTATGATTATAATAACAATACTCATCAGGTAAGATCTACTATGATTATAATAACAATCCTCATCAGGTAAGATCTACTATGATTATAATAACAATACTCATCAAGACTGTGTGACAGATATAAGATAGAAATGATATTTAGGAGACTGTTTCTGTTTTGCAGTTAAAAAATGAGATAAAATACCTAGACCAAGGCGTGAAGGAACAGTTAGAGGATAACTTAGAAACCATGAAAAGTTGCCATGGTAACGATGACTGTCACATGACAGCTGGAATTAGTAAGTTTATATTTTTACCCTGCAAGTCCACAAGGCCATTCCTTTTAGTCCACATAGCTAATAATGTTTATTTGATATTTAAGTTTGTCAACTCAGTATCTCTTCAGTATCTCTTCCACATAGTCCACATAGCTAATAATGTTTATTTGATATTTAAGTTTGTCAACTCAGTATCTCTTCAGTATCTCTTCCACATAGTCCACATAGCTAATAATGTTTATTTGATATTTAAGTTTGTCAACTCAGTATCTCTTCAGTATCTCTTTCAGAGAGTCCACATAGCTAATAATGTTTATTTGATATTTAAGTTTGTAAACTCAGTATCTCTTTCAGAGAGTCCACATGGCTAATAATGTTTATTTGATATTTAAGTTTGTCAACTTGACATCCCTTTCAGAGAGTTCACATAACTAATAATGTTTATTTGGATATATATTTGAGTGCTGTAAGTTATGGAAACATTATTTTAAAGTTATTATCTAAATATGTAATTATATTTTCAGCCTCTCTCGAACGTCGTCATGCTGAACAACACATGGTACCGTCTGGTGAAGGAGATCGTTATTATTATACACATACCTAATATCATGGCCGCTAGACTTTTATTTCTAATTTCAAATATTCAATCAGAGTTTATTTACCATTTAAACTATCAAAATTTCAAACCTAGTTTTAAAAATTGTCCAAAGTATATGTGGAAAAGTGGAAGCTGGAAACGTGAATGTTGGTTTATAAAGATGATATCAGTTATGTATATCAGTGACCAGTATGAGCCAGTGTTTTCTAGCTCTACATTTAAAGATAGAAAAGGTTGAATTGTATCGATCTGATATTATATTTTCTAACCCCAACTCTCTGACCTAACAACTTCACTATAAAAATCAGTGAGTAGTTTTGTGGAAAACATTCTACAAATTGTGATAAATATTATGGAAGTGAAATCCTAAGTCAGGTTTTATGCTGATGGAAATTGGAATGTGGAAGGACCAATCAATTTCCTTTTTACTGACTGTATGTAATAGAAAATACATCCCCAACCTGTGTTTGTGGTTATAAAGAAAACTTGTGGAGTATTGGAGAGTAGTAGTATATACAAGATGAAGTCAGATAGCAAGATAATTTTAAATACTCATGAAAGTGACGTCAAGTTTTATTGTTATTGTGTATTTACCTTTTAGATATTTTTTTTAGGGGTGAGGGGCCTGTGGTTCAACCAGTGCCTATGATAATTGAGCCACTAGACTATATGTAGAAAGTCTATTATTTTTGGTCTATAGTCTACCTGGATGGTCTATAGCCTACCTGGATGGTCTATAGCCTACCTGGATGGTCTATAGCCTACCTGGACGGTCTATAGTCTATATGTATGGTCTATAGTCTATCTGTATGGTCTATAGTCTATCTGGATGGTCTATAGTCTACCTGGACGGTCTATAGTCTACCTGGACGGTCTATAGTCTACCTAGAGGGTCTATAGTCTACCTGGACGGTCTATAGTCTACCTGGATTGTCTATAGTCTACCTGGACGGTCTATAGTCTACCTGGACGGTCTATAGTCTACCTGGATGGTCTATAGTCTATATGTATGGTCTATAGTCTATCTGTATGGTCTATAGTCTATCTGGATGGTCTATAGTCTACCTGGACGGTCTATAGTCTACCTGGACGGTCTATAGTCTATCTGTATGGTCTATAGTCTATCTGGACGGTCTATAGTCTACCTGGATTGTCTATAGTCTATCTGTATGGTCTATAGTTTGATATATGAGATATATTTAACCCTGACACTGCCAAGCTTTTTATATTTATTTTCTATTTTTACTGCAATATGACCTGATATTTTCATAGACTTGAATTCAGCATTTACCTATCTCTCTACATATAATAATTTTAACATTTGTAGCCATTTTCTTTTTGTAATGTTTTTTGTAGAATAATAAAGTAAATTATCTGAAAGAAATAAGATGAATATAATATATCAGAACAAAAACAAACATCGTAACATCTGTCAGTAGTGTTTCTAGGAAACGTTAGGTGAGGGGGTCCATCAGGAGCCACTCGATTATCCATCAGGAGCCACATAATTATCCATCAGGAGCCACACGATTATCCATCAGGAGCCACTCGATTATCCATCAGGAGCCACATAATTATCCATCAGGAGCCACACGATTATCCATCAGGAGCCACTCGATTATCCATCAGGAGCCACACGATTATCCATCAGGAGCCACATAATTATCCATCAGGAGCCACACGATTATCCATCAGGAGCCACTCGATTATCCATCAGGAGCCACATAATTATCCATCAGGAGCCACACGATTATCCATCAGGAGCCACACGATTATCCATCAGGAGCCACATAATTATCCATCAGGAGCCACATAATTATCCATCAGGAGCCACACGATTATCCATCAGGAGCCACACGATTATCCATCAGGAGCCACTCGATTATCCATCAGGAGCTACACACAATTCTTTCAATTCTATATAAAATGAAAAAATAATGAAATTGGCAGAAGTCATGCGAATTTGACTAGTAGCAGTGTGTTCACACCATCATAAGAGACCTAACAGTTCAAGCTGTGTTCACACCAACATCATAAGAGACCTAACAGTCCAAGCTGTGTTCACACCATCATAAGAGACCTAACAGTTCAAGCTGTGTTCACACCATCACTATAAGAGACCTAACAGTTCAAGCTGTGTTCACACCAACATCATAAGAGACCTAACAGTTCAAGCTGTGTTCACACCAACACTATAAGAGACCTAACAGTTCAAGCTGTGTTCACACCAACACTATAAGAGACCTAACAGTTCAAGCTGTGTTCACACCATCATAAGAGACCTAACAGTTCAAGCTGTGTTCACACCATCATAAGAGACCTAACAGTTCAAGCTGTGTTCACACCATCATAAGAGACCTAACAGTTCAAGCTGTGTTCACACCATCATAAGAGACCTAACAGTTCAAGCTGTGTTCACACCAACATCATAAGAGACCTAACAGTTCAAGCTGTGTTCACACCATCATAAGAGACCTAACAGTTCAAGCTGTGTTCACACCAACACTATAAGAGACGTAACAGTTCAAGCTGTGTTCACACCAACACTATAAGAGACCTAACATTCCAAGCTGTGTTTACACTTACACTATAAGAGAAATAACAGTTCAAGCTGTGTTCACACCAACATCATAAGAGATCTAACATTCCAAGCTGTGTTCACACCAACACTATAAGAGACCTAACAGTCCAAGCTGTGTTAACACCAACACTATAAGAGACCTAACAGTCCAAGCTGTGTTCACACCAACACTATAAGAGACCTAACAGTTCAAGCTGTGTTCACACCAACACTATAAGAGACCTAACAGTCCAAGCTGTGTTCACACCAACACCATAAGAGACCTAACAGTCCAAGCTGTGTTTACACCAACACCATAAGAGACCTAACAGTCCAAGCTGTGTTTACACCAACACTATAAGAGACCTAACAGTCCAAGCTGTGTTCACACCAACACTATAAGAGACCTAACAGTCCAAACTGTGTTCACACCAACACTATAAGAGACCTAACAGTCCAAACTGTGTTCACACCAACACTATAAGAGACCTAACAGTCCAAGCTTTAATTTGAGTCTTGAATATATGTAAATAGTCTTCAGAAATACTAGAAAAATCACATAATTTCTTCAAAATTATCTCAAACTAGAAATTTATTTTCCTATTTCTATAGATGTCTTTTTATTGTAGCAGGAGAGATTGAATGGTTCCTGAACAGCTCTATAATTCAACTGCCAAGCCCCCAAGTAATGTTCATCAGGAATTCAGGTTTTCCATCAAGATTCTGTATAGGTGTTTCCGATATATATCTAAGGAATAAGATTAAACTAAATACTTTTATTCATAACATTTACAAAACTTCACAAAACGAACACATTTGACAAAGACATTACGAAATATTTACCAATAAATGTTCCCAGATTATGAGTCTTTTATCCTAATTTAGAACAGGTTCACTACTAAAGCGGAACAATGAAGTTCCTGTAGTAGATTATCTAGAGTCCACCCAACCCGGGCTAAATTTAAACCACAAACCGAATAATCAGATCATTACGGACTTGCCATCTGTTAACACTTAAATCTATGAGAGGATTGTTGTAACTCCCACAGACCAAGCTTACAGAGCCAAACTCAGCAAGTTCCAGCCCATGACTGACTGACTGACTAAATAATGCTGAAATCTGTACTTTTATACCTAAAGAGGTTGCACACTGCACGTGCAAAGCGAAACATCTTTTCCCAATGCACCACATTTTATAACAATTGCTGATTGGCCAAATTATCATGTACGGCTTTATATAACAAGTACAGCCCTATATTCTAGAAGAAACTCTACTTCCGGTTGAATGTAAACAACAGGAGTTACGTTAGTTACTAAATATAGACAATTCAGAAATGCATATATAATTATATAACATATATACATAAATCCCCACTATATGACAGTGTCTCATAAAAAGACGACTCGTCGTTTTAACTTTCCAATGCGGATAACATGGACACATGGGTTTCAAGACTCAAATTTCGAGCTATGGACACATGTCGATTGTAATCTTATCTTTCTGTCTTTTGACACCATTATAAGATAAGAAGAATGAAGGTCATGTTTTTGTGCAATTGTGCATTTTAATCTGACATGATTTTCCTATTCCTCTAGACAGCTGTTATTCACTATCGTTGTCAGCCTTATCTTTATACCCTCACAATATTGGTGTCACCCATGTCCATTCGTCCGTCCGTCAGTCTACAATTGCTCGTAAACACTCTACAAGACACAATTCTTGACAGATTTTGACGAAACATGGTAGGAGTGTCTGTTATCACCCAAGGATGAACCCTATTAAAATCAGAAAAATAGAAAAATAATTGGTATGAGTCATTGCCCTTGTTCTTGGAAACGCTTTAAATTGTTAGCTCGTAAACACTCTAGATGGCACAATTCTTGAGAGATTTTGTAATCTGTTCAGTTTAAAAGAAGTGTATGACTGAAGGTTGAATATTTCATACTGGTAATTGTTACTGTACTGCTAAATATTTTTATTTAAAATCAAAGCTACCTTGTCTGGCTGTATCTTAATTTGAATGTCTTATCTATTCTCCTAGTATAAAAAGAGAAAATTAAATACTATCATAGACATTATTATAGAAATCATCCAGGTAGGTTTATTATTGTAAGATTTGAACGACATATAGAAGCGAGGAGCACATATAACAAAACACAAGACAATATTATGGAATATAAAACACATATGTGCCTAATCTTATTAAAGAAGTGTGTTATATTCTATAATATTGTCCTGTGTTTTGTTATAGGATCATTATTATAGTCAAACACAGACATTTGTCAAAACATAAACACAACTATTGTATTATATCTTAGAGGCGGTGGGTGTAAAATTCCCAACTCTCCGAATTGGGTCAGTAAAGACTTAAAAAGTGCGGATCTCTAGACATAACCAGCAGTGGTGAAGCCGAAGTGGGGCAGTTCTAACCCTCACAGCCATGAGAGCAACTTTTGCAGGTAAAAATTTCAAATCTAGGTAAGAAATTCAGGCAAGCTCGGATATTTCGCCCCCACCCACTCCCCCCTTCCCTAGGACGTAAACCTGGCTCCGCCACTGATAACTAGACGTGAAGACCTGTGTCTGAAGCTGACCAGACTGATACCGGACAGTAAATCTTTGATTCGTGAAC